TCAGGCGGATAATTACATGGTAGTGCAAAGGTGTATTTTTCAGTGTTTTTTGAGCCATACCCGTTTGTAAACCACACTTTTCCATTATTTTTAAAAGCTAATTATGTAATCTAGGAACTGTTTAATAATAAATCTGGAAAAAGCCTGAAACTTTCAACAGTGGCATTCCTAAATTCACCAAACGAATTTCATATTCTCTGCTGTTTCTACTTCATAATTCTCATTTCATTAAGTCTGATCAAAAAGCAATACCTATGCTTCTAGTCAAGCAAAACGAATATATTCAGTATTCATTTTTTAAAACCTTTAAGGAAAAGACGCAGTAAATTTTAAAAACTGTTGAGAATTATTTGTCTCCTAAATTCAAAAGCAAATTTGTCTCCCTTATTTCCTACACCCATCTCATCATACATTCACAGTTATCCTTTCTATCCATAAATAGACCAAGCTTTCAAGCCACCTTCCGTACTCTGACTTCATTCGGCACGCTTTTTTTCTTAAAAAAAAATATACTTTAGTTTCTTCAAGTTCGCTAAACAGCCTACAACGAATTTGAAACAAAAATCAAAAAAAGCGAGTCAAATAAAATTAAAAATAAAAAATTATTCTGAACTTCTCTTCATTCACGAGCCAAATGCCATACAGTAAATACTGCGAAAAAAAAAAAGCAGCAGAAGTTAGCAATGAATTTAATAACTAATAGTTTTAATGAAGAATCAGAAATGTACAACTTTCATCCTCTAAAACAGTAGCGAAAAACAATTAGAAAACCAATTTGAGAGTAAATTTAAAAGCCTTCAATAGACCCCAACAACAGTAATAAGTGTGTAGAGGTAACAATAAACCTTGTTAACGACAAGCTTTACAAAAATTAGTTGTCATGTCTTCGTCCCCTTTAGTGACCTAACAATAAATTTTTGGTTTGATGTTTTTTATTGGTATATTGACCACTTGATCGTCATAGACGGGGGATTTGTGCATATTTGCCATTTCTTTGCCACCGGGGATATTTAGTTATGCAGTATCACTCAATCGACTGCGGACGAGTTAGTTTCACAAAGCAGTCATTAAAGCAGCAAAGGCTTCCAAAAAGAACGTCATTTTTACCTCATTATATATGTATATAATAGCAAAGTCAGAAGCAGAAAAGTATGCTTTTGTCTATCCCATGCCAGAAGACAACAGAAGCGAATAAAAAATATCTAACTCACTTCCAGCTGTCACAAGTGAACAGTATTGAATCTTAACTGATATCTAACCTAGGCGAAGATTTTTTCGTAGATGCGTTATCAGTGTCATTTTGTACTCCATTTCAAGTGATACTTCAAATTATTTGAAACTAAGCGTCTCCCAGGAAGTGACATCCAGTTGAGAAGTCACAAATGTTTTTGAAAAAGTGGTTTTTTCGTAAAGTTTAACTGCATCAATATGCAAATATAGGAGAAATTTCTATTCAAAATAGCAATAACTGAAAGGCATACTGTAACTTAAAGAAAACTATATATTTATATTTGTCAAATAAAGTCAAAAATATAAAATCTACCAAAGAAAATTCTTTTTCACAGCAATGATTTTTCCAGAAAAAGAAAAAATTTCAAGATGATCATTTTCAAAATAAGACAGGGTACAGCGCAAGTCATGACGTGGAACCGCAAAATTGCCTCCTTCGCATTACAGCGCATGCAATACACAACGGTAGCTTTCTCACTTTGAAGTGATAAAGACATTACTGTGTACAAAAAATTTTGAATAGACTTTTCATGTGATCCTTTCAGAACCAGAATTTAACAATGTGCTCTACAGTATTCAACAAAATCAAATCACATAAAAATGAGCCTCTTTTCAACATCCTCCAAAACTGGACATTTGGAGGTACAGAAACCATTTAGCTATTAAATTTATATGGCTAAAAACGTAATTCTAGCACCAATAACTGTTCTAACTTATGCCTAGTAAAAAACCCCTTTTTTCTTTAACTGTTAGCTGAAATTGGGGCTTTCCTAATTAGACAGCATTGAAAGCAACCCTTAAATAATCACTGTTATCCGAGTTATTCAAAATGCAAATTTATCTGATTTGCTGTACTAAGAAGCACCAGTTTAACAAAAAGCTTGATGAATCACTTATCCCATCACAATAAATCATCTCTCGGGGACGCTATAATTAATTTCTAAAATCAATTCACAGTCCATTTTAAGTCAGTTTTTTAACATTATAAAGCATCGCAGATTACTATGCATTCCGAACGCTTCCATACGTACAGTTTCTGAAAGGGCATTGAAGGCGCTTTGAAAGTATGATTGCAACAGATGGTCCACTTAATAATTTCCGCGTAAGATGCACAGAATGAGAGGTTTTTGAATCAGCCAGGTGCGCCAGATTTGTCGTAAGTATAAGTGATATCAACTCGCATGTTGTGTTGCTGTAAATTGACAACTCGCCAACTGTAACTGCATTGTTCATTGAAGGTTCACTCCCGTTACATCCGTTGATTAGTTAAGAGACAAAGCACACGCGCCAGCAGCAGTCTGACGTGCACGCTACACAAACAAATCGCATGCTGTGTTCCTTTGGACAATGACATCACTTCTCTTTTATTGCGAAGACGCGTTCCGTGCAGTAATTGTGGCCAAGTAAGGTCTGGATAAGCCGGAGGTACATGAGAAGGGTTCCTTTTGTTGAAGACGTAACGCTGCTTGGAATTTTGCTTTCTCGATCAATCATATTTTGCGTATATGCTGTTGTGTCTAAGCATACTTCTCTCGTGGATTCGGCGCTTCATTTTTCCATCGTTGTTTGAGAGATTCTGTTGTTTTGGTCACTGTTATTTCACTCGTGGCACCGTCGATGTGGACAATTAACCGCTTAGGTATTCATGGTACAGTTTTTGAAATTTTTACTTCATACCCAGGTGTTAATCATCATTATATCCCTGCAGTCAGAGTTGCCATCATATGTGATGAACACTCAACATTAACAGACTTAGATACTTCATGTCAATTTTCCATGGAATTTAGTGTTTTAGTAATGGAGTCATTGTTAGTAGAGTAGTACTAGACTTTAAAGGTCGTCGTGAAAATCCAGCAGTGGAGTGCAATAATTGTAAAAAGGAAAAAAAGGTAAAAAATTTGACCTTCAACCGTGTGTATCAGT